CATCCCATCCCATCCCATCCCATCCCATCCCATGTCCTCTGCTGGCAGGAAGGCCATGTCCCAGGAAAGGCTGATGTTGTCAGGCTCTGAGTGCAGCCTCAGCTGGTGTGGTAGGGCTGGGGGTCAGGCACCCAGGAAACCCATGGAGTGGGGGAGCTGCAGGTCCCTCCATCACAGGCAGCATTTCCCAGAGCTTTAAACCTGTGCTGCTACTGGCAAAGTGGCTTAGCCTTGCCCTGGCATGGGTCCCTGAGCTGTGTGGGGTGCTCCCCCAGGTCCAGGCAAATCCCCAAGATGCTCCAAGATGCCTGGGGACTGCCCAGAGCCCAACACAGCACATCAATGGCCAGGCTAGCCGCAGGGATGCTCTGGCCACCCCTCACAGATGTGGCCATGGGCAGCACAAAACAGCTCCTTGCCAAAACCAGGGAGGCTGTGGGAGCCAAAACCAGGGACTCAAGCCTACTCACCCACTTCCCAGACTCTGGGGAGATTTGGGGCCATGGGGCTGCAGCTCCTGGCCAAGATGCTGCTTGCACCTCGCTGTATCCTGCAGCTGACAGGGATGGGTGCATGCCCAGCACAGTGCCACACTCCCCAGCGTGGTGCCATGCTCCCCAGGCAGCTCACACTGCTGACCCCAGCCAGGGCTTGAGCTGCCTCAGAGCCAGGACAGAGCCAGGGAGCTGCTCAGGGCTGTAGCTCCTGCCCCACTAGTTCTCACCATGGGAATAGCCATCCACTACTAATTATATCCCCTAATTGCCTGCATGGGGCTTTGGTGTCTCTCCTGCAGTTAACATGGGCTTGAGGGCAGGGAAGAGCAGTGTGGCACATGCAGTGGTGGCACAGCATGGTTGTGTCCCTTCCACGCATCCCTGATCCCCACCACACACAGGGAAAGGCTGAGCCACTCCTGAAATGTGTTTTCCTAAAACCAAAATAAAAACAAGGGACGTGTTTCTCCAAGCCCCCTCTCCTTGGGTCCTGGCACTGAATTTGCCTCAGTGGTGGTGAGGAACAGGAGAGGATTTAATGAGCCGCAGTTGATGGACCCCACGTCTGCCACTGAGCTTCTGTGGGACCTTGAGCATGTCACCCAGTGTCCCCACTGTGCCATGCCAGAGGTAGCATGGGAGAGCTGAGCGTGCCTAGGGCTCCAGCAAGACTGTCTGAGGGCAGCCTGCTGCTCTACCCTGCCGGCGTGGGGTCCCCCACCCAAATGGCAGGCTGCTGGGCTGGCTGACCCTGGCAGGAACCTCCCACCTTGGTTGTTTTTCCACCAGAGCTGGGCTGGAGCCAGCCCCGGCCTGCTGCAGATGTTTGGCAGGAGTCTGGAGACCGGAGGCCAAGCTCTTCCAGCTCACTGGCCACCATGCTGCTGCTGCCACCAGCCTCCCCAGCTGATCCTGAGCTACAAGCCAGGGGCTGCAGAGACCTCATGCCAGGCTGCAAGGTCATGGTGAGCTCAGGGAACATGAAAACAGTGGTGGGGACCATGTACTGCTGCTGCCTGACCTTGTCCCAGAACCAGGCAAGGAGCTTCTTCCATGCAGTGCCAGGGATGGTGCCAGCAGTGTGCCGGGGATGGCAGGGAGGGGCTCGGGCAGCAGTAGGCAGCATCTCCCAGCTGGCAGAGGTGCTGCTTTCCCTCTGGCATCCTGGCACGGCATCAATCCCGGGGCAACCTCTGAACTTTTGTTCTAGGTGTGCAACAGGAGGCGAAAGCAAAACAAGCTCTGCTGGGCGAGAGGCCCCAGCTCCTCTGGCGCCAGGCTTCCCAACGCTGCCGCCTCCACAGCTCGCCCAGCCCCAGCCTGTGTGCTCCTGCAGGTGCTGTCCTGGCTCAAACAGCCTCTGGAGCAGGGACCCCCCTCCCTGAGTGCCCCCACACCTCCCAGGCTATGGCTGTGGGTGCTGCCCCACCTGGCATCTGCACCCCTTCCTCTCCAGGCAAAGATTTGCCCCCTGCAGAAACATGCAGAAACCCTGAGCCCCTGGCTCATTGCCCTCACCCAAAAGGCACAGGGAAACAGAGTAACATGCTGCTGCCAAGCAGGGGAGGGAACATGAATGGCTGCTTGGGTATTGCTAATGTCCTCTCCAGCTGGAGGAGCCCCCCGGGTGCTCCAGCCATGCAGGGACTTGCTCCTTCTGGAGCCTGGGGAAGGATGAGCCCACCAGCCACCGTGTTTGCGATGTGCTCCCACAGACCCCACTGCAGCCTGGCTCGGGACCCTGTAAGTCTCCCTTTGAGGCCACAGGGCTTGTGTTTGGGTCCTGTATCTGCAGTTGCTCCAGGCGATGCTTCCCCCACAAGCACCCAAGATGTTGGGGGCCAGCTCCCACTGCACAGTTGCTGCTGGGGCTCCCCACAACCTTCCTGACAAGCCACAGGGTCTGCAACGCTCTGTCCAGCTGAGGACAGCTGAGGGCAGCTGAGCCAGGTGCTTGCACCCTTGGCATGGTTCTCATTGCTGCCCAGAGGCGAGGTGAGAGCCAGCATCCTCCATGCAGCCTGGCAGCGGCTCCCACCATGCCCCAGCACCCACCAGCCCCTGCAGGGAAGTGTCCTGGAGGATGCTGAATCACCTCAGCACCCGCATCACGCCTGCCAGCCGCAGCGTCATCTGCAATGGGCAGGAAAAGGCATTTTTCCTCAGCAAAACACCACACGAGTGCTGCCTCCGAGCTCCAGCACTGTGCAGGCACCAAAGCCAGGGCCGTGGGGATTTGCTTATCTTGTTCAGTCCTAGAGAAGGACTTTCCAACTCAGCCATGCACATACACCCGCTCTGTTTTCATGCTTTAAAAATGTCCTGGCTTCCCACTGCCATTTTGCTCCACGCAGTTTGTTGTTGCCATGAGCAAACACATCTTTCCAAGGCTTTGCAATGCTTTTCCTGGAAATGTTTGCCATGGGCTTGAAACTTCCCAGAAAACTCCTACCATGAAAGGAAACCTCTTGCAACCCCTGGCTGCTCATGACAAGGGGCACAGAGAGGTGGGAATTTCCTTCTCAAATCAAAATTTGTGATTTCTTCCCTGTTCCTCTCATAGCAAAGCTTCTTGGCTCCAGTTCCTGCTTCCAGATGCTGCTGGCTGTCCCCACAAGCGATGTCCCCAGGGAAGGGACGCTGGGGTGAAGCACAGGGGAAAGCAGAGCCAGGACTGCTCCCACCCAGCACAGCCATAATCTCCCCCAGCTGCCACCACATCGTGCCAGCGAGGGAGGGACAGAAGGAGGGGGAGAGAGAGAGAGGAGAACAACAGGAAAATAACCCTCATTGTTTGCCTCAGATTCTGCAACTTGAGAGGGAAGAGAGAAACACACACGAAACACACTGTGGGGCTGGTTCCTCTTTCCAGCAGAGAAAATGGGATTTAAACAATTCCCACCAGCGTGACCGTAGTGCTTCCCCACATCCCAGCCTGATTCATCTCATGATTTGTGCTCTTTCTCACCCTGAGTCACTGGGATGCCGCTTCAGCTCCAGGATTCCTGCCACATGCCAGAGCCTGGTACAAGGCTGGCGAGGGGCAGTGATGCCAGTTGCCAGAGCAGGAGAAAAGCATCAGTCACTGCTGTCAGAAGGTCCCTGGGGATCCTTCCTGCGTGCTGTCTGATGGTTGCTGCTGCTATCGCAGCCAGATTGAGGTCTGCACCCCCAGACCAGTGGGCCAGCCAGGCAGCGTGCCTCCGAGAGCTGCGGCCACGGGGCTCAGAGGCCAGGCAAGAACCACGGAGACCTGGAGCCAAGGCAGTGCAGGAGGTCACCATGGGGAGGCGACCTGGGAAGGCTGCAAAGTAGCTCAGATCCTGCACACGAACACCCCGACACCATCCATAGTGGGACAGAGCTGCACAACATGCTCATGTGTAGAATAAACTCCATTTATTTTGTAGCAAGAGGCAAGGTAAGAGCATACATGGTCCCTCGGGTGCAAACCCCTCTACTCCCCCTACTTTTCTTGCCCACAGGAGGGCTGGCGTGCCAGGGGGGCCCCTGCCAGCGGCAGGAGAACCAAGCACAGCTGGCACACAGGCAGGCAGGCTGGCAGGGGCTGCCCACCCTCCTCTGCTCCACGAGACCCAGAGGAACCAAGTTTTTGTCCAATTTCAGTAGATATGTGACAGAGGAGAGGCTGGTGCCAGCTACACGTCTGCTGTGCAGTCAAGGTGAGCTCTGTCACTGGTGCTTTCAGACAGACCTCCGAATGCACAACCAGAGGCCACATCCATCTTGCTCCGACCCTTCTTTCCCAACTACCCCAACAGCTGGAATTCCAAAGAAGAAGTAACTCTGCTGGGCATTTCCACCCCTTGCTGCTTGCCTGGGATGGGACAGGGTGGCCTGCCAAGGTGAGTCCTTTCTAGCTGGACACATCCATAAAGTCACACGTCAGGCATGTGTGAGGCAGCAGGCCCACTACTGGGTGCTGGCCTACCCCAGCTCCTGCCCATCTCTTCCCAGCTCTTAGGGTGCCCCACCATGTTCTGCGGGGCCCCTGGCACAGGGTCCCACGGCTCTGGCGCCCTGCCCAGCAGGCCAGGTCCCCTGTCAGCTCTTGCAGCCTCAGACGATGCCGTTGCGCGTGGGGTGAGTCCGTAGCCGGTGGATGATGACGGCGGTGGCTGGGCAGAGCACCAGGGCCGTCATGACCAGGATGGTGGCCAGGATGATTAACACAATGGCCCAGATGTCCAGGATGTGCTTGGGGAGGGTGACGCGACCTGCAGGGTTAGGGACGTCCATCCTGCACGGGAGAAGCAGAGGGGTGATGGGGGAGCCCCCTCCGTCCCTCCCATAGCCAGAAACCCCCCATTAGTCCGAGCACCCCACTGCTCTCTCCAGGCAGAGCCCTGTGGACAGATCCAGCCTTGGCCTCGGGCTCTTGTGAGAGCAAAGGGCTTTGTTAAAGCCCCAGGGTTTACAATGGGCTTTGATGCAGCTGGATAAAAGTCCA